TCTATTTTAAGGTAGATCATCTGTAACATGTAAAACTTTTAAATGTGTGGGAGTTCTTCCGTTCCTGTTCTCAGATCAAAGTTTCATCTTTTTCCTCAAAAAAGGGGGTTTTATACAAACAGTTGGTACTAGCTATGTCGAGCTCTTTAAGGGAAAATATTATAACTCCATCAGGTAAGATTAACTTTGTTACAGTAGATGTGTATCTGCAGCGTGACCATCAGGCCCAGTGCGATATTAGAAACCGTAATAAAAGCAGCTCGTGTTTAATGTATGAAGAACTGTCGTATTTGGACTGGAAGTTTTTCCTTACGTAAGGCTGACAACCTTACCGACATCTGTGAGCCGATTGTCGGGAAGATGTGGGAGCCTCACCGTCTCACAACCCTATGAGCCTCCATTGCCTGTTACAGGGATAAATTTACCTTTACCTGTTTATGATGACCGTTGTTCAAGGCGAATATGAAGTTTGTCACTGCACATAAAGAAGTTCACAATCCCTTTGCATCTTTTGAAATGTCTTTAATTGCTGCAGAATGTTATGAGCTAAATATGCAAATGAAATGAAGAACTAATTCAAGTGCTTATTTCATAAATAGATAGCTCATGCTTAAGGATAATAATCGCTTTNATGTGTGTGTGTGTGTGTGTGTGTGGACAAATTGCTGTAGCCCGGATACTGACAAACTAAAAACTCCGTGGTCTGTAGTCCGAAAGCGAACTATACCGACCGAGTGACCGCCGTTTGTCGGCGAAGTTAGTGCAAACTTTTGCTGATGGTTGGTGTCACGTGGTCAGCCCACGGATCTAGACCGGAACCGCTGTTTCCTTGAAATAGCTCCTGAATTATCCTCACGAGGTTGAGTGGCCCCCTTCCAGATCCACTACTTCTCAGAGAATCTGGCAGCGCCGGGAATCGAACCCGGGACATCTCGATCTGTAGGCAGGAATTCTGACCGCTAGACCACAGAGGCCCGGATACTGACACCACNTTCAAATACCCGGCGGAGGTCGTCGAATTTTTAAGGGCGGAAAAATTCAGGGAACAAGTCCTCCGGAGGGACTTTAAGCCGTGGGTCCCGTGTCGTAGCTTTACGGCACGTAAAAGAACCTCATATCTCCAAAAGAGGTCACTGAGCCAAATTACGGACGTTTCCCGCCCAACAGCAGTCTCTAATACCTCTGGTAGATGGGGGAAGCATTATAGATACCTCTCAGCTAGTAGAGCCGGTCTCGCTGGCTGGGCGGGACTGATGGTAAGCACCAGTACCGGTAGGATATAGAGTCTGGTAGAAATCATAGAGGGAAGCACAATGGACCAATACAGGTCTAAGTGCATGGGGAAACCCACCCTCTCCAATAACTAACTAACTAGGCTCGTCGTTTTCATTCCGTGACACTTCTACATACTTTGCTGTAGGCTTATAGTAGGTCCATCAAATGCGGTGGCATACAAGAGGGGAAATAATCTCCAAGGAACGTTGGCAAATATCCATGTTCATTTAGACCACTGAACTGAGAGAACTGTGACGCACTTGGTGACATATGTTTACATGAAAAAAACACAAAGGGTCAGCATGAGGGAACTAACCAATGAAGCTGATAAGCAATGTGTAGGCTCGTCTTTTGTGTATTTTGTAGCCGCTGTATGGTTTTTATGTAGTGCTTGCTTAATTATCATGAAGTGTGAATTTATGGGGGTGAAGTGTGCGTGCAGTGTTTTAGGTATTGTTTCAATATTCGCCCGCAGGAAGAACGCGTAACCAGGACAGTGCGGTACGTCAGAGGATGCATATACAAGTGGGCGATCAATCTCACAGCTAAGAACGTTTGTGGGTAACATTACAAAATTATGAATATGTTATGTTGGACACTTCGCATTGTCTTAGGTATACCTGACATACACGAAGCTTTGAGGTTAGCATACTGGACTAGTGCTTGGAAGGTGCAGGGTTCGATCCTAGTCGTCGTTAATGAAAGTAATTTCAAATTCGCCAATATAAATGGAAATAATTACTTGAAGTATGTAGTAGAACGGCCGGTCACGGTAGCCGAGCGGTCTAAGGCATGCACTGTCCTCGCTCGCTCGGAAGCCGAGATCATGGGTTCGAATCCCACTCAGGGCATGGATGTTTGTGTGCGTTTTTCTGTGTTTGTGTACAGGTAGAGGCCTTGCGACGAGCTGATCACTCGCCCAAGGAGTCCTACCGAATGTGTAAGATCTAGAAAAACCGAAGTGAACGGAGTTCATGGAGGTAGGCCTAGGCCCAAATGAGGGCTGTAGCGCCAAAGGAAAAAAAAATGTAGTAGAACGAGGCACCGAATCTCCTATTATAGAACCCGAAGGTTCATTACAATTTGGGAAGACCGAGCGAGATGAATGTTGTCGTAGAGCCGAGGAAATACGTAAAAGTAAAAGGAAAAAGGTCAATGTTGTCCCTATGCTTAACTAATTAAGCATTACTCCATGAAGACTGGGCGGGGAGAGGATGTATAAATCCACTTATTCTTGATATCTGCACTGGTCGCAGGTGAATCGTCGGCATAACACCCCGGTCGCTTTACTTCCTGGAAAAGAGCCCTCGTTACCCATGTGATAGGCTTGTTGGGCCCCAGAACCGGTCTGGACGACGTGGAGAGGAGATAAATCTTGCCCCTAATGGGACTCGAACTCCCACCGCTCGGCCTACCAGCCCGTAGCCAGTCGCTATACCAACTGAGCTATCATACGGTGTTTTAAAAATTATGTTCCCTTAATAAATGTATTTTCGTTGAATTTATCACACCACCTGTTTCGTACAGAATGTCTCATTTTTAGTTTTGGTACAATTCTTAATCCAACAAGGAAAGTGTCTTCAAAATGAACAGTAAATTACAAAAGCCTGCTGTCAGGCCCATTATCTATTCGGTACAACAGAGGCATCCTCCACCGATTCTATTTGTTATATTTTATATAAAACTCTCTTCGCCGCGTACAGTCAAAAGATGAAGTCAAGGAGGGTGAGATTGGCAGGGCATGTAGCACGAATGGTGGCGAAGCGGAATACGTATAGAATATTGGTGGGAAAGCCGGAAGGAAAGAAACCACCACGAAGACCAAGACTTAGGTGGGTGGATAATATTAAAATGGGTCTTAGAAAGGATGGGTGGTATGGAATGGATTCATCTGACTCGGGACAGGAACCAGTGGAGGGCCTTTGTGGACACGATAATGAACCTTCGAGTTCCATAAAATGCTGGGAAGTTCTTGAATAGTCTGACAACTGGCGGCTTCTCAAGAAGGGCTCAGGTACATGAAGTCAGTTAATTAGTTATATAAAACTCCAAATTTTGAGGAAATATGCATATGAAGTAGGCGAATGTAAGTTTGTTTATGTCGCCACTGTGACTGTTCACCCTTAATAACTTTCGAATCAAGAGGTGAATCACTATGAATCTTAGTCTAAGAACGGTCTCATTTTAGACCATACCCTACCATTTGTAGTATCAGCTGGTAACGCCAGTTTTGGTGTCGAAGTAAAACTAGCGCCAATTATTGTAAGGCCTTGAAAGTTTGTGATGATAGAACTTCGAACAATGTACAGTTTCTGTTGTCGTCGTTAGTTATCGGCACTCGGCTGCTGCCTCCTTCATGCTTGTTTCTTGCTTGGCTTACCCTTCGTCCCTGAAGATGGAAGTGACATGTTTCCTCGAAATATTAGTGGTCTATCACCCGACTCCACGGCGTTATATCTCAGAAAACAGATTCTTAATATCCACCGCTGTTAGAACCTTATATCCTACGTAATACAGTGTTGTTTAGTAATGACCCAATGAACTGCTATTTCACATGAATTGAAGCAGAATGTTTAAAATTAAAAAAGAAAGGACTTGTTTTACATAAACGTTGTACTTGACTTAAAATACAGATCTGATTATGATCTGCATATTTATATCAGACATATTTCGATATTATGCTTATTGCATGTTGATCTGTGTTACGAATTGTACCTCCCAATTTTTCAATAAGAGATACACAAAATGCATAAAACGAAAAACGTGAAGAAATTGACTTGCGGCTGCAATAATGAACAGAAATGAGTACCAGGAATATTCTTGGGGGTAATGGGCGGCCGGCGCTTAAGGCTGACAACCTTGCCGCCCTCTGTGAGCCGGTTATATAGAAAATATACGAACCTCAACATCTCACAACCATGTGAGCCTCCACGTCCTGTTACAGGGATACCTTTACTTGCTTTCTGTAATGAACACAAAGCCACAGATGTATGCAAGAAATAACACATCAGGAATATTTATACTGTACGGGAGTACCCTCCGTGCTTGTCTGCAGGCGTGTGGCAACTGTGCTTTATTGGTGGAGCATTGTATGATCTTTCGGTTACTGGAAATCATCTGTACATATATTTAAATGTGAGCAGCGGTGTGTTTGCAAAACAAATTCCCTTCCATTTTATTTTGTGTGAGAACTGTTCAAATTAAGGGGTACTGTGTTCCTACTTTATTGAACTCTGTTTAAAATCGTTCTGTTGTTATTTATAGAGCCGTTTGATAGATTTATGAAAATATCAGACTTTTCATAATTTCACTTTTTGTACTTTTTGTCGGATGCGCGAAATTTGTACCTAGAGTTCAGTATGATACCTTGCAACTATGCATGATAAATTTTATGTGCACGCCATAAATAAACTTGCATTTTACATGTGTCTCCATCTTGTTCACCCTTGCTCGTCGTACGAAGACTAGTCACCACCAATACGATCACCAGCAGGAAAAAGAAGTAGAAAAACAGCAACAGCAGGATTGGCTATTCACTGCTCTTAAGTTTCTTCTCTCTTCGTAGACTAGTTTCGATTTATTTAAACTCTTTTCTGCTTCCCATTTATTTAAATAGCAAGGGTATATTTTTAAGGATTTGTTGACTTATTATATACGTACTTTTATGGCGTTCTGTACTAGAAGCATATTACGAAGGGCCCATCTCCCACACTCCTTCCATATTGAGTAACGAACTGAAATGTGTGGTTTATCAGTAATTCAGATAGCAGAAAGTTCGCTGATTATTAGGATGTATGAACAATTACAAAATCATCAGAATGCTGAAAATTCAGTATCACTGTAATGTAAAATTGTTATGAGAATGATATTTAATTTAATTCATCACTGTAGTTATTAATAGTTACCCCCCAGTCTTGCTTGATAAGATCTGCAGCCTTCTCGGCTATCATGAATGTCGGCCCGTTCGTGTGACCCACTGGTATTTCAGGTATAACGGATACATCTACCACTCTGAGACCCTTGATTCCGTACACTCTTAGCCTTGGGTCCACTACGGCGCTAGAGTCCCACTTGGGACCCATTTTACAGGTCCCAGATAAGTGGTATATCGTAAAAGTGAGATGTCTTATTGCACATCTCCAGTAGTCATCGGATCCAAAAACGTGTTTCTTACATGCGGGTATAGGAATGTCGTGTAATTTGGTTCCAAATTTCTGGAATCCTTTCGTCTTGCTAAGTTCAATCGTTTTTTTGACACCTCCTACCATAGTTTCTAGATCTTCATCATATTGAAAATAATTGGGGTTGATTAACGGTTTATGAAATGGATTTCTGTCTCTGAGCATTACCCTTCCTTTGCTTTTGGGCCTCATCAACATCGGTAGAACCATCCATGTATCACGTTTTTCTATTGGTTTGTATACAGCGTTGTAAAGATCGCGTGTAATACCAAAGCCTTTCCGAAGTGTATGCTCGGAGACAATTGAACCACCTTCAAAAAGAAGTTCTATATTGGGGTATCCATGTGGATTGGTAGGATCCTTTAGGTCATAGAAGGCAAGAGCTTCACATCCCCCTGGAACTGATAAAGGGCCTTTATGATAAGAGAAATAATTTAGGGCGTTACTTGGGTCATTCAATATCGAGCTTGTTTTCAGGGACACGCTCTGGTTGACCGTGAAGATTAGACCGCCAAGTGCAATGTGGTCCATAAGATTGTATCCTACAGCTAGGTCCTGAATTGTTTTAATGCCCAAGCTTTCCAAGTGTTGACGCGGTCCTACGCCAGATAGCATGAGGAGTTGCGGTGAATTTATTGCTCCTGAGGATACAATTATTTCCTTCCTGGCACGTATTACATGCCGTTTGTTCCCCCGAGTGAACTGAACGCTTGTTGCCTCTTTTGTCTGAGGATGTATTAATATTTTGGTGGCCGTGCTCATTTTAGTGACATGCAAATTTGTCCTCATTCGTACTGGATGTAAGAACGCTCTAGAAGAACTCCATCGAGTCCCATTTTTCAGTGTATTCTGTAGAAAGCTGAATCCTATCATTGTATCTGTGTTGTAATCAACAATGTTTTGTCCTGTTTCAAGACCTGATTCCACAAAGGCTTCAGCTAACGGTGTGCGATAAGGAGGATGGCTGATGGTTAAATAACCGCCCGTAGAATGAAATTTCTTATTTTCTGCTAATTTGGGTATTGTCATGTCTTCGGACTTCAAGAAATAAGGCAGTACCTCTCTATAAGACCAACCGTTATTTCCAAGTGCAGCCCAGGCGTCATAATCCTTAGGATGTCCACGAGTATATATCATGTAATTGAGGGTACTGCTTCCCCCCATAACTTTACCTCGTGGATGGTTACACTGTGCATTTTGAAGCCCAAGGCATGATGTATTGGAAGGCACTGTTTTGTATTTCCAATTGGCTGAAGTAAACTGTATGAAGCTGGCGAGTAGAGGGATGTCCATTACGAAGTTTTCTCTCCCGCCTGCTTCCACCAGCAATACCTTCCATTCTGGGATCTCAGTGAGACGGTTAGCCAGAGTGCACCCAGCTGTTCCTGCACCAATTATAATGAAGTCATATTCGTCCAGTAGATCGATTCTGCTTTTAGGTTCCTCTTCATGTTGTTTTAGTATATCTGCCAAAATTCTGCCAGTGTTGCTTTGTTCTGTGACGGATTCAAGGAAGAACAGTAGAACCAGGTTTAGCAGAAATGACGATTGAATCATCGTAACCCTTAATCTGGAAATTAAAGTTGTATCATTTAGTCTTTCCTGCAGAATACGAACATAATCACTTGTGTGAATTTATATGTTGGATTTGTACTGTGTGTTCCTTGTTTATTGTATGTGTTTTGTTTTGTGTTTGCCCTTTATGTATTGTCTGTCCTTGTCTGTATCAGTGTAAGATTTACTGCCACCGGGTGAACACCCAATTGCAGCAAAATAATGATGATAATAATAATAATAATTAGATAAGTTTTGAGACATTAAGCTATTACTGAAGTTGTATGTCAGAGTGATGTGCGGTAACATCGAACGTAACAATGTTTTCTTCAATTAGTTTGGGGTACATATTGCTTATACTTAATATATCTGTAGACGAAGCGATGTTCAGCAGATGTTCACCTGAACCACTGATACTAGATTTGTGAGATCGAAAAAGAGTTAATTTCTGCGAATTGTTTCTTAAAACGAACATTTCTACTTTATTTTCGATCTGGTACGAATCACTGTGCGTGACAGTACAGTGTCTATACAGACATTTATAATTTCAAAACGACCATGTGTCCCTTGACGGTACTTGCGAAGGGAAATGACTGTGTCTCACGGATTTAAATGGAGGCAAATACATGACGTGCAGTGTTTGTCGAACAGGTGGACATTGCGGGATATGTGCTAGTGTGCTGATGGTTTGTTGTAAGGCATGTTTGTGTACCTGAACAACTGTGAAATCTTTCGGCTTTATAATGATCAGTATTGTGTCTGTGTGTGAACGTCTGCAACGTTGTGCTTCTGAGAAACACAGGACTTTACGAAAATAATATGCTGCTTCATACTGAATTTTCTTCTTACTGTAATGTCACCGACTTCGAAACTCCCTTAGGTTTAAAGTTTATTAATTTATTATTATTTTAATTGGCCTCTGTGGTGTTAAGTTTGCACGTAAATAAACACGGATTGAATTATTATTATTATTATTATATAATTATTATTATTATGTGTTCCTACTTGTCATGTTCGAGACTTCTCTACTTTTAGCGTTCGTCCCTCAAAAAGACACTGTCCCTCTTCTC